GGGTTGATTAACGCCGAAAGCCTCAGCTACCTTAACCTAGAAACTTCTACACAAAATGGATTATCATTCAGGTATGACAACGTTGAGTGCTGTTATTCTTCTTCTGATTCCAGACGTTCTAGTCTATTTTAGTTGGCCAAGCAATGATAGTTCTGTGAGGCTATTTCTATATTCGGTCATATTGAACAAGGTAAAGTTTTGTTTCCTCGGTTTGTAAAGTACACTTCAAGATAATTCTGAGATATCTAACGAAATTTTGGAAGTAACGGGGCAACATAATGCAAAAGTAGCGAAGAAAGCGTGAATTTTAATATACTTATTTTCTGAGTCTTTAGTTCCTACTTTTCAGACGTTGATCAATTTTCTCATCTTTTTCGTGCGGTATCGTGAATTACGAGGAATCTTCGGCACTACTGGATCGAGTATTGGTCATGCCTAAAATATGTCGGTTGTGCCTAACTATAACGGATTTATTCTGATAAAAATTTATTGTACGGCTTACAAATACACAGACATTCTGAAGCTCTTTCAAGATATTCTTCCAAAAATTCCCTTACGCCCAACTATCGTTGGCTCTTCTATCGGGACTACTATGAAAGGAGAAAGGGGCAAGGTTCTTTGGCAGTGAGCGGCACGAAGAGATCCAGCACTAGTAGGCACTAAAAAATAGCGATGGTGTACGAATTTTATCCGACTAGACAAGCTCGGTATCAATTCACCGACCCCGGGAGGAAAGAATGCTTGATTTGCCTTGTTGACTACAGGGTCGAAATATGACCTCGGCTAACACTTGTATACCACCTACTAGTACTACCCTATCAACTATAGAATGTCTTTGGCTACGGTAATACCCAGGAATAAAGAAAAGTTCTGTAATCCCATAGCTCTCAATTCTACAAAGTCTACTTGTGAGTATGAAGGAAGATGAAGTAATGTCGCTAATGGGAAGAAGGTGCTGCAGTGAGCTATTTCATCATGGTGATCAAGTAAGGATTACGATCGATGTACCCAGTAGTTTCGTTTCGCAGTGTATTGAGGATATGCCATCCTTCAAATCGTACTAATGCATGCCGACGCTGATAGCCTTTGATACTTTGGATAGCCGTTCCTACTACTGCAAGAAAGGTGATGTAGGTTCCATTTTAACGCGCTGTCTACTCGGATAGGTGGTGAGGTCGTTGTTGCAGGAACTCTTCGCTCAGTTTTCGGGTAAGAAATATTTCTAGAGTGTGTGCGTGAAGAATCCACTCTCATTGCGTTGCGACTCCTAGTAGGATGTTTCGCCTCGTATGGTGCACGAGCAAAATCCACCACCTACCCATTTTTGTCGTGCCCTGCGTTTTCTTGCTTGCACAGTTACTGCAGCTATTTGCTTCCGGACATAAAGACTGCCTCCTGTCTGGATCTTCGCTGACAATTTTCCGACAGCAATCCGTTACCATTTATGTAGGTGCAGTGAGAAGTGTACGCCACACACATGCAGTGAAACCTAAGGAGCAGTCAAGCCAAAAGCAGCCATGTCTTATCCTTCAAAGCATGTTGCTTCACACCGAGTGCAGAATTACCTCATATTTAGTTCAGGTCTGCTGCATTGTGACCAAGAACAGAAGGGTACCCGAAGGCACAATATGGAACTAAAGGTTCCGTGAATGTGTGATGCAGCACTCACAGGGCCCCACCACCCAGCAGCTGTTCCTCGCCCACGGTATTTTTTTGTGTATCGCCTAAGTGAGGGGGTTTGGAGGCGCTTGGGCATGCCTTCAGGTTACTGTATCACACATTCATGTAACTTTAGAACCCGGCTTGCCCCTAAGACAGGAGGAGACGGTGGTGAAGGTAGAGCCTGCTACGGTCGCATTGCTAGCGGAACGGATGCATCGGTGGATAGCCTAGCGACTGTCGAGCGAAGCGAGTTGCAACGGAGGCTTACATTTGCTTGCTCCTTCTGACGCTCAGGCCCTTAAGGCTTTGTGGCCCCATTCTCGTAGACCATTGCCCTATAATATTATTGCTCCCGCGACACACTCATAATGATTGTCTTCTCTGTGCAAATTTTTCTCGTCGTGCAGGACCGGCGGTCCATTAATAGTCTTCTTCCTATAAACCGACGCCAGCTACGTTAAGGCACATTATCAGAGAATGGAATCAAACGGAAAAATGAATGGCTGGGCATGGTTTTGGTACAAGCTGTGGCCTGAGCACTCAAGCCTCTTTCAGCAACCAGGGCCTCTGTGCCCTTATCCAAGGAGTCAGTGCAGTACCTCTTCTCCTCAGAGTTCCTCCACATGGGTACGACCATCTACGATGAACGCTGGAAGTGGAACATCGGAGCAGAAGTTGCCAGCCACTATAGTACGGTGCCCCCTGCGGGACATCGCCGTATCTTTGGCCAATTGTCATACGAAGCCGGTCGGGTCTCATAGCATCACCACTAAAATTCAGGGATGAATCCTGAACCGTCCCTCTCCCGATGATCTAATGATGAGATAAAATGTATCATATTCTGTATTTCATAGACAGCATTGTCTTTTTACAACCTTTCTACCCGATCTCTACAAATCCTACCGTCCCAAACACGATGCATCGAAAAATTGTGGGCAAGGTGGGTACATGGAATCGTCATTTTGCTGTATAGCATCAGTTTTAGATGTTTGAGACAGGATCTACATTTTACTACCTAGAAGTCGAGTATTTGTCGAGATTCTTGTTTTCAGCAATTTTGTATGAAACAGAACAAATCTTGTGACACCCCCTCCTACAGGGGGAATTAATGGTGCTCCAGTTAAAGGAACGCGACGCAGCCGCCTACTGTCTGGCCGTGTCTACTGTGCGTCTTTCGAATCGCGGGAAGTGCTCGCTTTCAAATTCCTATCGGTGCTACTTCCTACAACTCCATATGCTTTATGTCTGCGGAAATTCTTCTTCTTGTGACCATCGGGTCCTGTTCCTAGTTTATTAGAAGGCTCAGAGTCTGTTAGTGATTTGTATTACCCGCAAAAATGTACAGCAAGCCTTCTTAGACCACAAGTTTCTTCCTGACTTAGATGAAGTTGCCTCTACTCACAACTTGTTCGGGGTTTTTCTGTGATTATTTCCATTTGAAACAAGAATTCAATCGATTCCGAATTGGCTATTCACAGCTATACCTTTAGTATCATCTACGTGAGATTCTAAACAAGTAGGATGATGTGAGGAAGGGGGAGAAAGCTTGGGACGGATTGATGCACTCTTTATGCAGCAGTAGTTGCCGTTCATGTGTGAGCTGTTTTTGGAAGCCACAAACTGCAGTCGCTGCCGAAGTTGAAGCAGGAGCTGCTGTAGCAATAGGAGTGGAGTGGAGGTGGGAAGGGGGGAAGGGGGATCGGTGGGAGGAAGGGCTGAATGGGGTGGAGGTCGTTATAACATTAGATTAGTAAACAAAAGAAGCAGTAAAAGATAATGATAATAAATGTCTTAGGAAATATTTCATGCAATATCAGTACGTTGACCATGTTTGATAACGTTCGTGATTACTTCTTTGAATGAGATCAATGTTGGGCTGTTTGTCTGTTGGTCAGCATTCTAACAAAGGTGCATTCTCCCTGTCAGTAAGGCGGTGAACACCATTGTTGCTTGGCATTCACTTAGACCTGTATCTGAGTATTATAACAACCATATCGATATTCCATGATGTAGCACGTTTTAATCGTATTTCTTCACTTATACTTCGTATTTCTATAGAGCGTTGCAGCAGCTTTTCTCAATTCAGTCATTTGTTTTCTAGAAAAATGACCGAAATTGAGATGGAGACCGATGAGGGAACGAGGCGATCAGTTGCGGGCACAGTTGGAAAAGATTGGGATGCTATAATAAGAGAGTTCAGAAAACCAATCAAAAATCCTTGCCCTCGAGGAAAGGTATGCCTTTGCAAATGTAGTTTTACCTTTTTTCTTTTTGTTCTAGCAATTACACATGTGAAGGATGACTATGTAGTTTTCTTTATGGTTCTTAGATATGCGGGTTCTATTTTACTTGGGGCTGCCATACTTACGAGTATGTAGCAGCTGTGTTTGAATGAGAAAACGCTGTATCAGTAAGAAATATTCCTTTTCCGCGTAGTATTTTGTTTATACTCAAAATACCCACCCGGCCAGCCGCCTGGATTTTAGCGCCATGGGTTTATATTGAGCCGTGAGGTAATCTTGTGCCGTTGCTGGATTCCTTTTTATGACGACGGTGGGTGTTCTTATTTTCAGATCATTGTTCATCCCCTCCAAGCTCGTTATCTGAATTTCGACATCAGCCAAGAGGATAGTATGAACTCAACGTCTAGTATATCGATGATGGAGCAATCGATGGTTCGAATATCCCTTTTTTTGTTAACAAATCTCATTCCCCCGGCTCGAAACATTCCGCACTCTGTTCTCCAGGCTGCTGCCTTTGGGACTCCCCGAAGAAATGCAAAAAAGCTGACAGGCGCCGAGCAAAGGGCATTAACACTGAAACATTTGAAGGAACGTCAACAGCAGTTCCATGAGGTAAAATAAGGTACAGTTCGATATCGTTTTGTCTAATAATTCACTTCAGCAAGAAATGGCTTTGGGTGGATATCATGATATATTTACCGATCCATGCCCCGAATTCAAACCACGAAACTTTGCAAAAGATGTATCTACTTCTGAGGATGATTCAAACATGGATGAACCTAATGACCTTCCTGCAGGTTTGTACATATGTTCGGCAATTTCACCTTTACGTAATATTTCAACGAGAGATTATCTTTAGATGCTCAAGATAATACACACAACATAACTCTTACACCAAACGATGAAAATGTTGCGACATATTCACAAGGGCGGGTCGGGCAGGGTTGCTCTACACCACAGAATATGGCCAATAACACTTTTGCGCCTCTGCGCAAAATCGACATCTCAGTAGTGAAGTGCAGCGAGAGTGTTTCCAGTGACGTGGGTTTTTGTTTTTTCGATATTTATAGCTTAAAACGGATGTTTCGATTATTATCAAGCGTTTGTTTATTTGGTAAATTGATATAGTTTTTTCAGTCTGTGATTACTCCTAGACATGTAAATATTCTAATTTTTAGCCAAGGCTAGGTGCTGGAGACCAAGTGATTACGGAAACCCCGGCCGATTCGGTTATAGAAATTCCGGCTGGCGTAGTTGAGCAGAGTGCAACTGTGAGACGCAAAACGGTGGCAGGTGAGTGCTGTCGCCTCGGTATGAATTCTTCATGTCTATTTCACGCGTAATGGGATGTACAAGTAAGATTGGCCTAATGAAGAATTCCTGAAGAATTGCAAGCAAGTTGAAGGGGATTTCCGGTACTAGAATAATTCTTCCTAGAAATAGGGAAGTTTAGGGAAACACTCGATTGAATATTATCTTTTTGTTGAAAATCGCGCAGATGAAGAAGGGTGAAAATGTTTGTGTGTACAAAAAAANAAAAAAAGCCGATTTCCTGTCGTTACCAAAATGGATTCCTACTTTTCACTTTATTGGGTTTTTTTTGGTTTCTGGTATCGAGCATTAGATGATTGTGGCCTTGTAGTTATCGATGAGCGTTAAGCACCTTGGTAGGGGGACATATTGGTAACGCTCTATCGCTATTTTCTTCTTCTAGTATAGGAGCAATTTGGAGTTGAGAATATCTGCTCTTCAATTGAATGTGATCTACATGGGTTACTGCTACTTTTTTTTGCTATTTTCACAAGTGCAACAAAAATCGACTTTGCATTTTAGAGCGTAATTCACCTACATCTAACGAAGCACCTGCCGCTGAGCAAGATGATTCCATGGAAGATGTTTTGTCAAAAATGCAGAAAACTCCTAAACGTGCGACATCAACTGCGAAGAGGAGCACGATGAATGTGACAAGCAAAAGGCTCGATATAGTCGCTGACGTTTCTATGGAGTGAGTTCTCATCATTAAAATGGCTCATTCAAGATAGTAATCTTCAAATCCTTTTTTTAGGGAAGCAGGATCTGCAAGAACAAGTGTGGCCTCTGAACCGGCCAACGGTACGTTCACTGTTCAAGGTGCAAATGCTACATTCACCACTCAGTATGCAAATGGGACATACGTAGTTGTGAAAGAAAACACATATGTGGTAGATCCAGCTGATCCAAATCGTAGTGGATGTGACGAGCAGCAAAATGCTACATTTACTTTTGTACAACCGGAAAAGGCTCAACCTTCTGGTTACGAAAGTAATGTAGCTCCCAGCTCAAAGGCAACGACTTCTTCCGGACCGACGTTTGCAGTTCCAGCCCTCCCCAAAGGAAAGGTTAAGCAAGCAACAAAGACGACTGTTGAACAAAGAGAAGATAGAATGGTAAGGAAAACTTGCTCTTAGGCTCTTCGAGTAGTGCTGTTTTAGGGAAGTGCTTACGTTTTTCTATTAAGAATAAGTCCCAAAAGAAGAACACTTCAATTCTGGAAGCGATGGGTGTAGACGTACCTTCGCCTGGAAGAACTTTATTTGCCGCTCGTCCTTCGAAGAAGGTGGTTTCTCTGGGGAGAAACTGGCTATAATACTTAGCTTAATTTTCTGATTTCAGCAGCGAACGCTGGTTAAAACACCTGTCAGAACGAAGCCACCCGAGAATGAAGGTACATTCGATTCCTTTTTTTGTTTCTTGAATATGGGAATTAAAAGTGGGTAAATCAATCGGATAGTTGTGATAACTTCAATGCTTTTTGAATAGACATACTAGATTGAAGGAAGTCTCTCCATCCTCTCATTTTACGTATACGAGTGAGCCGGAGCTATCAGTCCTAGTATGCCACCTGACCTTCAATCGCATTTACTGTGAACAGTTCAGAATGACTTGGATCATTTTTATTCAGTTGTTAGATATCAGTTAACCAATTAAGATCCCATGGAAATATCTATTGCCATGTCCGACATAAGTAATCAACCTTCGCTGGAGTCTGGTGATGATTCAGCAGGTGATCAACCATCGGATGCAGAGCGACCAGCTCAAACAACTCCAACTCGTACTCCTGGTTTTTGCCGACGCGCTCGTAACGCTGTAATTTTCGATATTTCTTGATTTTTTTNTTTTTTTCGTAGCTCATATGAAGATATTCAGCCGGAGCCTTCCTCGAACGTACCTTCTTCTACACCCGTGTCGTCTGTCAGTAGAAGAAGCAACAACTCCCCCTTTGTGGGCCTCAGCCCGAAGGCTAGACAAGCAGCACTGAAGGTATCACGTGATTTTTCTTTTTTCACTTTGTGGTCTGTTTCTTTCAAGTCTCTTTAGGAGAGTGTTGAACGTTTGTCACGTCCGAAAAATTATGATGGTATCAGTTGCCATAGGGAATGGAAGAGACAGGTGTGTTTTAGCTAGGGGGCGTACCGTTCGTATGGGAGTTCGCCGTGTATGACTTTCTGTCAATCTGCTTTGTTTTTCAGGAAGGCAAGGATGTTGTGCAAAGAGTATTACATTCTCCAATGGTTGGTATTTCACGAGGAGATAATTTGCCAGCGCCTGTAACGCCGTTCCAACCTCTTGGTAATATTTAATTCTTACTTTGTAGAGCCTGTAAAAACCCTTTTTTGTGAAGATGTGTCTCGCATGACGATTGCTAATGCCGAACGTAGCGGAACTGTTCGTCGTGGACCGTTAACGAGATTGCGGCTGAGTGGAATATCACAGCCCCCAGAGGTCTCCTTTCAGTTGCTGTTCTTTGATTATGCTTATCATTTCCTCACGTCCTCTCATTCAGGCAGGCTCGAAATCGAAGCGGGGCAACCTTTTCAAGCGTCTAGGTGATTATAAGCCTCAAGAAAGTGCCGATCCAAGACGCTCACCAGAACCAGCCGACACTGATACTCCTCAGAAAGAGCAAGCGGTGGAGGAAACGCCCATGGACGTTCCCATTAGTTGTATCTCACCTCCTGCTGATGGTTTGATTGATATGCAGCCAGCAGCAGGGGATTCAGTGGTGCAAGCTTCAGTGAGTTTTCTCTGAAAGAAGCTAAAGAAGTTGGTGAGTGCTGTTACTGACTGACTGATTTCAGTCTCCACGAGTTCCTGCCGGAAAAAATGCTGTGGTCTCACCCTGCGTGGTATGTTGACGAACTAGTAGTTCCACGAAATATAGTGAGTGGTAGCCCAATTTTCATCTGTTCGCTTCAGGAAGCTGTGTCAGATGAATGCGAGAAGTCACTCATGGATGCTGCACGACAACTAAGTCTAGAAGGTAAGGGTTGAGTTTAAGCATTTGTATTATTTATTAGTTTTTGTGGCGTCATTGTTTCTTGTGAAGCTAAACGAATGAGATTGTACCAACTTTCTTTAATGAGGTTTCATTGCTATTCATATGGATTTAGGCATACCCAACCTGAGTCATTTAGATATATCACCGAAAGGAATGGACTTGGAGTCTGGGCAAAGTCCCAGTGTTGAAACGGTAGTGCGGAGAAAGAAACCCCAAGGTAAGGCTTGTTGTGTTTTGTGTTTTATTCATAGATTCTAACTTTAATGCACAGGGTTACTTACCGATAGCCTTTTCTCCACGGATACACCACATCGAGCCCCTCCTAAACCTGTCAAACACCCGTTCCATGCCCCTCCCAGACATCACTCACTGGATTCTTTCGTCGCGGGCATTGGAGCCGTCTCATCTGGTATGCTTTTCTAGTTTTTGATTGAGTGTTTACTTTTTCATTTTCTTTTGCCTTTTTTATTATTTTCTTTTGATATTTTTTTGCAGTTTACCGTCATTATAGAAGTTCGTACCTAGATGTAGTGTGCCTATGATTTCGAATCCTTAGAAACCTATTCACAGAATAACTTTCTTTTTCAGAGGATTCTGCAACGGCGGACGAATTTGATTTCATAGAGGTTGAAAGCGAAGGGAGACAAAAACTGGAGCCCATGATTCTCAAGCCTAGAAAAGTCGGTGAGTGGCACTTTTTTTCATAGAGGAAGTGATGAAGACTTTTTTTGTGATTAGTTTGCCATACACAATCATATTCAGTTCATCCGTCACCTCCGCCTGATCCCAATCTTCGCCGATCGAGCCGCAACCGGATGAAGCCAGTACGTCAGTGGCTTGGAGAGAAACCGGTATATGCAGTGTCGCCAGGAGGTCGGTTGTACTGCTGTCTTACTTTTCTCCTTTTAAAATTTCTCTCTTGCTATTTTGTTCTTTCCTTCGTACTAATCGCATAATCTTTTTTTTTTTATTTCTTGTAACTCTTTCTCCTTATTTCTTCACGAATGATGGCAGAGATGGGTTGGATACAGGAGCGAAATACTTAGCATGTACATAGTAATGTGATTGCAGGAGGACTAACATTGAAAGGGGTGAATGAAGTTGAAATAAGGGACAAGCGGTTTCTTAAAGTTAGAACGGCAAACTACAGGAAAGCCCAAGAAAGAGAGCAGCAAATAGCTGGTGAGTATCGAATTTTATATCGCTTTCCCATTTAGAGATGAATTTAAGGGACGTTGTAACACAATATTTAGTTGCTTTTCATATTTTGCAGCTTATAAACGCATGCTTCGTGAGAAACGTAAGCAGGAAGCGCGTGAACGGAAGCAGCAACGTTTGCGAGACCTACGCGCACGTCATCGCAAGGGAGTGGATTTACATATAACCCTCGACTCAATTGTCACAAGCAGCGATGAAGAAGACTCAGATTAAATGCCCAGTATCCAATTAGATTTTTTTTTACTAATTTTCGCATTTTTAGTGAATAGGCTTATAACACTGTCACTACTACTTCGATCTTGTAAATAGTGTTTTATTCCAGAATTATTTTGTGAATAATCAAAAATTCTTTTTTTTTGTCGTTGGCATGACAGTTCAGTTATTAAGAACTGCAGCGTAACGCGCAAATAGGCACAAATGGTACACCAGCTCAGTGAGGTTAAGCACAGGTCATGTAAGGGAGGAGTGGCGTAGAGTGGCAGACTGCACTTCTTTTCTTCGGAATCATAAATAACTGCAACCTAATCAAGCAATTGTGATCCATCAATTCCATTAGATCCTTAGATAGCGTTAGCCATACCTCTGGAGGTGAAGGACAAAAGGGAAGCCACTTGTTCATGGGTACAAACGCGGGAAATGAAAGCAGACTTTATAGTTGGCGACGTAATGGTCGCATTGCCGCGCCGCGTGAAATATACGCGCGCGGTGATCGATGTCGAACTACATAAGGGGGCCTTTAAAGTGACCGATCGGTGAAGCACCAATAAAACTAGCGCTGTTGCGAAAGACACTCTCTAAAGAAAAGATGGAGACGATATAGACCACCTTCAGGTTGATCAATGGTTTATACTTGGCAATTCTTGAATACCGCGTGAGTCGCGACGATATGTCCGAACTAAATACCACCTCCTTAACTCCGTTTGCAGAGCAGGATTGATGAGTTGTTTTAATTTCCCATGTGACCAAAAGTTCTATGATTGACTAATATCCTTTTCTATTGGACAGTATCACCGTAGCCTTCCAGTCAGAACACAGTCGAAGGCAAATACGAAAGTTTTTATGTACATACATAAATAACTGGACCAGCGGAATAATCAAAGCTCCCAGCTCACTAATGAGTAGAGCTTGTTCGTGTAGTTACGAAAATTCCACGTAATTCACGATGTCGTACAACAATTATGAGGAAGTTGATCATTGTCTGAATGAAAAACAAAATTAAAATTATGTTGTTCTTCGCTTAAGCGTAACGACTACGGTAGCAGTAAGACTGAGGGATACTAAAGCGTGAAATTAGCGTAACGGTGGAATATGCCATTATCATTTTCGCTCCGCTACTCTCATTGGAAAAAAAACATCTAATATGAGGAGTCACTTCCTTATTATAGGCACAGTTCACATGATGAGAATGGTCCTTGAGATTTACCCCTTAGGATGTTCCTATGGATCTCAAGGATAAGCATGGGAGATTGTGTTGTCGAGAAAGATATCGTCAGGTCGCTCAAGGGTCCCAAAACCAGATTGGCCAACGTACACACCGAAAAACGGCCCGTTTTATGACGCGACCTTGTCGAGGCTGCACCATTCACAATGAAGCATTAG